TTGTTTTTTTTTTTTTAAGTATAACAGAATGGTTAGACATGGTATTCTTCCAATTCAATGCAGTCTGGACTGATTAAGCAGAAGTCAGCAGCCCCATGAATGAGCTTCTGCCCACCTGGTGTTGGTGACAGTCATTTCAGAGAAAGGAACAAGAGGAAATAAGGAACTTTTTAAAAAGATTTATTTATTTATGCATACAAGAGTTGGGGTGCAGGCCAGAGGTGCAGGAAGGGAGGTGAGAGGATTCACCGGAGACAGAATAAGGAGCAGAACAGGCCAATCTACTGAAATACACTACTGAGGGGAGCAGATAGGAGAAGACTGCAGCACCGTGTGTCACCTCCCTGGCCGGGGATCAAACCCGTTGCAATGGCTGCGGTTGCTTCACAGTGCTATGACTTAACCCCTTGTGCCAGCAGGGAGGCCCCCATAAGGAATTTTCAAAATCTTTTAAAGTGTACTTCTCTCCCCTTTCTGTTCAGGAAGGTGAGCAGACAGGCACAGGCAGCAGGGAACTAGGATTCCCTAATTCTCAGAATGTTGGAGTTGATTCAGTGGGGAACTGTGGCTCTAAGTGCATGACTGATCCCGTATCTTCTCTCCCTACAGTTCTGCCTGTGAGTGCCTATGTAGTCTCTCCTAAAGAGAGGGCTAATGTTTTGTTGTTACTTTTTAAAAAGATTTATTTATTTATGTTTACACGACTGGGGTACAGGCCAGGGATATGGTGGGTGAGAGGATTCACCACAGACAGAGTGGGGAGCAGAACAGGCAGATGGACTGAAATACACTGCTGAGGGGAGCAGCGGGCCAGGCAGGAGAGGTCTGCCAGGCCATGTGGGCCAGCTCCCTGGCTTATAGAACTAGTGTTGAAGCGCTGCAGCCAGCTTTGTAGTGCTGTGCTTTAACCCATTGCTCCACCAGGGAGGGCCCCTGCTTTGTTGTTATTTTGAGAAACTTCTCTCCCCAGCCAAGGGAGGAAGGCTGCTTCAGGGTGAAATGTAAGGTAAGAGGCTTCACCCTAGCTAGCCTCTTCCATCCTCCTCAGCAAGCCTTTCCTTCCTCATCTCTGTTTCACATCATCTCCAACTACCTCCCTGAACAATCCTTTCACCTGAGGGCCTTAGAAGGACCTAGGTTGGGTGTTACCTGAGGGTAAACAAAATAGCAGAAATCCAGGGAAATATCTGTGTTTTCTACAGAAAGTCTCTAGAAGAGACAGTCTGAGATACTGAGCCTGATATCCAGAGTCTCTCCTGTGCCAAAGATACATCTCTCACTCAGGCCACAGCTTGCTTCCACTACTGCTCCCAATACACCTTGCCTTAGAATCTCCTCCTAGTCTTTATACAAGCTCTTTCACTCATCCAGGCACCACTTTCAATTTAATGAAGATGTACTTGGTACTAAGTCTATGTGTTGAAATTGCTTTGAACATTTACACGTATTATTTCATTTATTTAGCTTTTCAGCCCTGGGCCTTAAGCATCATTGTTACCCCACTTGACAAACAAGGAACTTGAGGAGTAAAGAGGGTAAGAGACAAGGACACAATCCAATGCAAGCTCGAGCCAGAGTCTGCTTCTGTCCACTTCTTCCATACTTAGGTATTAACAGCTCTCTCATCCCCACTCCTAACATATTGAGCTCCCACAGGTTCTAGTTCCCATCTTTGCCTTCCATTATGATAAAATAATCTGGCTGGTTTTTAAGTTTTCATTAAAAAATAACTTTTTAAAAGATTCATTTAGAACTGGGGTACAGGCCAGAGGTGCAGGGGGTAAGAAATTTCACCAGAGACAGTGGGAAGCAGAACAGGCAGGTCTTTTAAAACTTTACACAAGGCTAACATGCATGACTCAACAAATTGTTAATAAGTAGCAACCCATGCTTCAGCACGGAAATAAAAAAAAAATAACCCCAGCACCCCAGAAAGTCTCCTTGGGTCTCTACTCAGACCCCCAAGGTAATCAGGACTCTAACTTCTATTACCATAGATTCGGTTTACCGTTTTTAAAACTTAATAAAAATGGAATCATGCAGCAAGTGCAATTTTGCATCTGTTTGTTTCTGCTCAGCACGCCACTTGCAGAATTCATCCATATCTTTGTCTGTAGTTGTGGGGTTTTCTCACTGATGTGCAATATTCAATTGTGTGAATATAATAAAATTTATCATTCTTCTGTTGAGGACATTTAGGTTGTTTCCATGTTATGCTATTACATATAGTGTTTTAATAAACATTACTCCACATGCCTTTTGGCAAATGTGTATAAGCATCTCTGAGGGTATATACCTAGGAACAGGATTGCTGGGTTATGGAGTTGCATATGGTCACTTTTAGTACATATTGCTAAGCAGTTTCCAAGGTGATTATGTCAAATTATATTTTCAACAGCATTGTATGAGAACACCAGTTGTTCCACATTGTCATTAACATTCAAGGTTTTCTTTTTAGTCATTCTAGTGACTGGTTTTATTTCATATTTTCTTGACTACTAATACAGTTTTATGTTTGTATCTTCCTTTCTAATCCTCAGATCTTTGATTTATTTTTCTTGCTCTAGTGCTCAAGACAGGACCACCCGTACAATTTATAAAAATGGTTACAGTGGGCATCCTTGTCTTAGTCCTAATCTGAGATGGAAAGCATTCAGCATTTTTCCGTTAGATGTGATATTTGCCATAGGTTCTTTTTTTAAAAAATACTTTTTTATTTGTGCATACAGAACTGGGGTACAGGCCAGAGGTTCAGGGCGGTGAGAGGCTTCACTAGAGACAGAGTGGGGAGCAGAGCAGGCAGATCGAGGAAGTACACTGCTGAGGGGAGCAGCGGGCGGGTCAGGAGAGGTGCGCCATGTGGTCACCTCCGGGGCAGGGGAACGAACTCACATTGAAGAGGCTTTAGCTTCTCAGTGCTGTGCTTTAACCCACTGCGTCATGAGGGAGGGCCCACCATAGGTTCTTTGTAAGGAATTTCCCTTACTCTTTCTTCAATTCCCTGGAAGAATTTGTATAAATTAGAAAATTGGGGGTGTTTCCCTTTAAATATTTTGTTGAATTTGCTATTGATAGTCTCTGAGTCTTAAAGTTTCTTGGTGAAAGCTTTTTATTATAAATTTCATTTTTTACTAGTTATAGGATTATTCAGATTAAGATGTTTCTTCTGTGAGCTTTAGTGACTGCATTTTTTTCTAGGAATTTTCCCACTTTATCAAAAATTTCAAATATATTGGCATAAAGTTCTCCTTAATAACATCTTATTATATTTTTAATGTCTCTGTGCTCCTTTTGTTTCTGATACTAGTCCTTTGCCTACATATTTATTTTCTGGAGCAGCATCAAGAATTTATCATTTTTCTAGTTTTTTCAAAGAACCAAATTTTGAAATTTGTGTTGTCTTTGTTGTAGTTCTCCTTCCCATTTCATTGATTTCTGCTTTTATCTCTTTGTTTCCTTTTACTTTAATTTCTTTTTTCTATCTTCTTGAGATGGATTTTCAACTTTTATTTTTAAATACTATATGAAATTAAGGCTACCCATTTCTAAGAATAGCCTTAGCAGTATCACACAGAATTTTAGATGCGATGTTGTTATTATTACCAATCAGTTTGAAATATTTTCTAATTTCCTTTGTAAATTTATTCATGTTTTTTCCCCCTCAATCTCCAAGGCGTGATGCCTGAATTTCAGAGGGCATAAAGATAACCACCTGAGAGCCTTGTCAAAACGTAGGTTTTGTAACTTTATCTCGAACCTCCGAGATTAGTATTTTCTGGGAGGTAGGGCAGGAGTCCACATTTCACAAGTTGGGGGGCGGGGCGCAGTGTGGTAGCAGAAAGGGTTTCCTAGGGGCAGGGAGCAAGTCTGATTCACCTGTATCACCAGATATGTTTAAGAAATGGATGAACCGATGGATGGATAGGGAAGAAAGGAAATAAAATAAAAAGTGCTTATACCAAAAGAACTCTAAGTAGTGAACGCTATAAATTGGGTCCCAATTTAATCCATTCAGAAGAGAGATTTTTTTCCCCTTGCCTTCAAATCCCTGCCTACTGCCATTTCCATCCTGCTGTTCTGGAATGGGGCCTCTCATTTGCCTGTCTACCGCCCAGAGAAAGTAGAGGTGCCGGGAGATGTGTGGAGGAGGGGCTGCCCGCACGGCTGGGCAGCACTCCGGGCCCATCTCCTCCCCCAGTCCTCCTCCAGTTTCCACCTCCAGTTCTGCCTGGGAAAATGCCCACTGAACCTCATCCCAAAAAAGGAGTCTGTACTAGCTCTACAAATCTAAGAATCCCTCCCAACACAAAGCTTTTGAGAAACTTCCCCAGGACCTCTGAGGCCAACACCCAGCCCAGTCAGCCCTCCACCCCAGCCTCCTACACTTGTAGCCTGTGTGAGTGAGTAGCTCTCGGAGCAGCCTCTCGGCCACCTGCCCCACCTCCAGGCGTCTCAAGCGTCTCAGAAAGGCCACAGTCAGACTTCCCCAGGCAGCTATTGTCCGGGCAGCGCTGCCGCCACGCCAGCATCCCCACCCAGCCAGCCAGCCAGCCAGGCGCGGCTCCCTGGCCTCGCCAGCCCCCCCTCCCCGCCCCGCCCCAGGAAGGACCAGGCGGGCGGCTGGGAGTCTCCCTGCCTGCACAGCCTCCTTCCTTCCCTCCCTCTCCCTCCCTCCCTCCTCCACCCGCCCCTGAGGCAGGGACCGTGCAAATCGAGTAGAGGGGGGACGGACAGACTGAATGGGGTCCAGCTTAAGGTCCCGGGTTCCCCGAGGATGCCTTATCCAGGTCGGGTGTTCCCAGCATCTTGAGACCTGAGTTTATGTAAACTGCGGTGGTTGCCAGGCCAAGGGGGTTCCTCTGGCAGGCCCAGGGTGCCCCCATTTTGCATCAGGACCCCCCCCCTCGGATGCTCTGAGCCACCCTCCTCAACCCGGATCTAAAACCCGGGACACAGCTATCAGGCCAGCCTCTCTCTCTCCACCCCACCCCCTCTTTCTGGCGTCCATCCCCTCCCCAGCACCACCTCTGCTGCTGCCTCTGGCTGTGGACCTGCACCTCTTCCCCATCCTCGCCAGGCCTGGGGAGCGTTGTGAGCCTGGATGAGAGCCCCCCAACCTGGGGCTTTCCCAGGCAATGGCCTTAGTGTTCCCAGGGAGGAGCCCCTGGACCCTGAGCATCTGCTAGAGGCTTGGCAGAGGCCCCGCAGGAACTGTGTCTTCTGAGGACAAAAGGCGGCGGCCAGCAGGCAGGGGGGGGGGGACCGGCTGCCAGGCAGGCAGACTGGTAGCGGGGACCAGCTTTGGTCCCCCCTCCCAGCTTGGCGGTGGCATAAAGATGGGGATGGGAGTGTGTAGTGAGGGAAGCACCTGCCGGTACCCCCACCGGCCACCTAGCTGGATACCCCAAGGCTGTGTGCTGCCCACCTGGTGTTCCCCAACACCTCCAGCTCTGCCCAGTGTACCCCTCTTCCCCTGATGTCTTCGATTTAGACCAGCCCAGTTGTATCCACGGCAACAGAAGCAGGAGTGCACTGGCCTAGGATCACTGAGGGTCCCACAATGTGGCTTGAGCTGTGATTATCCTGGATGAAACAGCTTGAGCTCCCTCCCTGGATTCCAAGACAGCCCTGCTGAGAAAGCTTAGGTAAGTAGTCAGCATCCCTCCACCAGGGATGGGGGACTAGGACCTCTCTTATCTCCCCACACATATTTCAGCATCTTCATCAGTGCCATGCTGTCTTTGACTATATTAATTTCTCTCTCTGTCTCTATGTCTCTCTCTCTCTCTGCTCCATCACCAGGGCTACTTGGGTACCCAAGCCTGGACAGTCCTCTAGCCATCCCCATCTTTCTCAGTTCCAAATGTCCCATGAGAAAAGGAACCACCACCTGTTTCCCGCATAGTGTCTGATTTTAATCGTTGTGGTTGCATTTGGGTGCAAAGCTGTGTTGATCTTTCCTTGTGTGTTGGCTATGGAAGGCATGCCTGGGAGCTAGGCGGTGCTCCCCTCCCAAAGCCTGCACCCTGGGCAGGCTTAGCCTCCTGCAGCTGCCTCCTCTGTCTCCCTTTCCCTCTCCCTCTACTCTCTTCCGGGTCCTTTGGCCTGTGTGTGTCTGTCTGTGTGTGTGAGCAGGAAGGTGGGTAGACATGACAAAGAAGCTGCTCCCTGCCAGACCACCCTCCTCCACTCCTTTTCTTCTTTCCTCCTTCCCTCCCTTCTTTCCTCCTTTCCTTCCTGTCTTCCTCTGTCTCTCCCCACATGTAGCACAGTTTGTTCACTGACCACTGAAAATATTGCTGTGATTCCCACCTAGGGGTAGGAAGCCACTATAAAGGTAAAAGGAAGGCAAGGTGGGGGTAGGGAGAACTTCCAGGCCCTTGGCTGCCTGACAGCTCTCTGGGGGCAAGGGCCATACCTCGCAACAGCCTGCAGGGGCCAGACACAACATAGTTGTCCTCTCCGTGTAGGGCCCAGTCTCCATTCCAAGACTGTCTATGTCTGTTTCAGCTGCCTAGGCTATGGCTGGGGTCTTATGGTCCTGGCACAGTGGCCAGTGGTCCGGAGGGGCAGGAAAGCCTGATACACAGAGACCATGGATTCTCCAGGGACACTTTCCCAATTAGAGTTCTGCTACTTGAGTGGAAGTATGCCACTTACTGAACCTCAATTTTTTCATCTGTCAAAGAGACTTCCATCATGGGTGTGTGCAGTGAGCAAGTGACTTGGTACATGTAAATAATGGGTATGCATAGAAGTGGTCCTGAAGCAATGTCAGCAAAGTTCATGGTCAATATTGTTGCTGATCATTCATGAGTAATCATTGTTATTGTTTGGAGGGAAGGACCAGTCTCTTTTCTCCAGTATCTTCCCTGAAGTCTGGGGAGGGCAGCAGGTAGGCAAGTGGAAGGAGGGATGGGAGGGGTTCAGAAGCAGTATGTGCTGTTACTTGTTATTTGGAGGCAGTGATAAGTGGTCACTGTGGGCAGAGTATCTCACCCCCACTGACTCCGGACTCCTTTCCCTGAACTTGCCCTGTATGTGTGTGCGCATGCATGTCACACAGACACACACACACATGCTCACACAGAGAAGCTAGAGTCCCCATGAGCAAGCAGAGACCTGGCTGACAGCCTGCAGCATTCCTGGCCCTGATGATGTATGCGTCTCCTGTTGAGGGGAGACTTGGCAAGAGTTTGGTCAGTGGTTGGCAGGCCCTGGAGACAAGGCTGAAGGTTTTGAGATGGGTAGAGCTGGGGTGTGACCCATGCAGTAGCCAGATTTGTGGGGGATGGGACTTGGGGGATTCCTAACCTAGTGCCCTGGCTGGGGAACTGTGGGGTTTGCTGTCTGGCTTCCAGGTGTGGAGATATGGTTGAGCACTGAGAGAAGGGTCAGTGGCTGGCAAAGGGGAGGAGGAGGAGGAGAAACACTGAGGTTCGGAAGACCCTCTCTGAGGGAGCAGGGAGGAGTGGGGTTTTGGGTCCAGAGTAGATTTTTCTGATTTGGTGCAATAGAGGACCCTGCCTGAGGCAGGTGGACCTGAGTACGGGTATATACATGCAACTGGAAACGTGTGGCTATGTGTGAATTCTTTGTGTGTTTCTGTTCATGAGTAGTGACTGTGTATGAGTCTGTGATTGTGAGCAGACCACATAACAGTGAATGCAAGTGTGTGGGTGTCTGGATAGGCTTATGTATGTACAGAGGAGTGGGTATGACTTTGCACGTCTGTGAGCAAATGGGCGTATTTGATTTTGAGCCTGAGTGAGGGTGTGTATCTTTGAGCCAAAGAGGCCTGTTGAATGTGCAGGATCATTTGCCTTTGGATAGACGTGTCTGAGTGTCTAGGTGGCAAGGTTTGAGAATATATGAGTATACTTGTCTGTTTAGTGAATGCCCAATTGTATCTGCTTGTCTACATTTTCTTGGGCACCCATATGTGCACATGAGTATAAGTGCATCTAACTGTTGTGTTTGTAAAGGCATGCATGTGTGCATCCATGCATGTATGGGAGGATATGTGTGAACATGTTTCTGTGTGGGTGTGTCTGACTTGTAGATGTATGAGTGGACTTGTGTGTGAAAGTCTATTTGGATTTTCCAACATTTTCAGTTGTGTATATATCCGTGTGTGCATGTTTGGGTACATATTCTTTGTAGACAGACCTATGAGTCCACATCTGTTTAGCGAACTATTAATATAAATGGTGACACTAGTATAAACAAAATTAAGTAGGTAGGGGAGTGTATGAAATTCTTCTTTTGAGTCTGAAAATGTATTTTGTGGGTATTTCTGTGTGTGCATATTTGATGTATATGTAAGTGTGGATATGGGTGGTGTGTGCCTGTGTTAAAGTCGGTGTGTATAGGTGAATGGATGCACTTGGGTATATGTCTAATTGTGTTTGTAGCATACTGTTATGTGTGGGTGCATGTCTGATTGCGGGGTCATGAGTAGTTACATTTCATAATACTTGTTGCACAGGTTTCATGTGTCTTGTGTGGATTTCTGAATATGCGAGTGTGGATAGGTCTATAAATATGTGTGTGTGTGTGTGTGTATACTGTTGTGTTAATGTCTGGCTGCGTGTGCATTTTAGTGAACAGTATGTATATTTGCCTGTGTGTTTACACTCATCTAAGACTTTGTGTTAATATGCATGCATGTGTGTACACCTGTTTGAAAGTATGTGTTTGCTGCTTTTGGCCTATAAGTGTATTTGAGGGCCTCTTTGCATGTGTGTATCTGTGGTACGTGTGATAAATTCTTGTACATGTGTACAAGAGTGTGAGAATATATGAGTGTTCCTCCATGTGTGCATGTGTGAGCTTACCTTTGTGTCCAAGTTGGTCTGGGCATGTAGGTATAAATGAATCTTCCTTTTATTTTCAGAACTTCTGATATGGGTTTATGGATAACATACATGGTGTGTGTATCTGATTGTGGTTGTGTGTGTTTTGTAAGTACATTTGTGTTTCCTTGTCTGGTTGTGTACACATAAGAATATGCTCTTGTTTGTATATGCCCAGTTGTGTGTATAAGTCCGTGTGTGTGTTAAAATGTCTGTACACGAATACATCATGTCATTGACAGATGTGAACATATCTGAGTCCTGGCAGGCATGAGTGTTCCCATATGTGAATGTGTGTGAATGTGCTGATGGGATCATGTCTGGTGGGGGGGTGTGCATACTTCTAGGAACTCATCTCAGTGGGTGGTATTTGTTCATTGTGTCTTTGTGTATGATACAAAGTTGCCTATCCTAGGAAGTCTCTGGGCTTTTGTGGGAGTCTCAAGATACTTCTTACCATCATTCATACTCAGACTGTGGGAACCAATTATAGTTGATACTCTACTAGGGAATAGGCCTATGACCTCTGCAGAAAAAGATTTCTTGAAATACAAAGTCCTCCCTGCTCATCCTTCTACCATCAAAGGCTCAGAACAATGGCATAGTATGATGCCCAGGGTTAGTAAATGATTTTCACAGAGAGTGTTCAAAGTATGCCATCCAGGCAGAAATCGAGATGTGGATGTGGATTTATAAATTAAGGTGTATCTGGGTAGAGTGGAATATGTGTGTGGAGGGGAGAATATATTTAGTAGGAAGGAGGGGAAGGAGGGGAAGGGAAAAAAAGGATGGGAAAGAGGGAGGTCAGGAGCAGGAAGAGGAAGAAGATAAAAGGGATTTGAGTTATGTATGTGAGTCTGGGTGTTTCTGGGTAGGATGTGTATGTGAGACATTTGGCTGTATTTGGGAGGGATGAGTGAGTGTGAATGTGGGTGTATGTAAATAGTGTGTTTGTGAGGCACTGTGAGAGCATGGGCCTTTTGGGAGAGAAAATGGTGTGAGAGTTTGCGTATATCTGAGTGAGAATATGTGTGAGGATGTATACATTTGATGGTCTATCTGGATGTGTGAGAGAGTGAGGAGGTATTCGGATAGTGTATGTGGTTGATAATGTGGCTGGGCTTGTGTTATATGTTTATATTTGAGAGTAAATGGATATAAAAGAGTGGATGTTTCTGGACACTGTTATAAGGGAGTATGGGTGTATTAGGGTGAAGGACATTTGAATGGGTCTATCTGGGTGGTGTGTGGATGGGGGAGGGCACAGGTGTATCTGGGCAATGGATATGTGTGATGCAGTTTATTTGATTGTGTGTGTTTAAGAAAGAGCCTCTGAATCCATCTAGGTGAGGGTTGGGGTGTATATGAGTATGTGTATAATTGGGAGGTAACTTTGGATGGTGTGAGGGGCATATGTGGTAAGATATGTGTGTATTTGAGAATATGGGTGTGTCCATATTGTGTGTGTGGGGGGGGTATTCCGCATGATGATTAAGATAGGAAGGAATTTGGATTGTGTAAGTTTAAGAGAGAGTGTAAGTGTTTTTAAGCATGGAGGGAATGTGTAGCATAGATGTATCTGGTGAGAGGAGAGTGCAGGTGTATCTGTGTGAGGTGTTAAGAGTTTGAGTATGACGAGGTCAGGGAGTGAGTATGAGTGTATTGGGGATGTGAGTGCGTGTATCTGGATTATGAGCGCATGTGAGATGTGGATATATCTGGATGTGAGAGAGAGTATGGAGGTACATCTGAGTTGTATGAAACAATATGAGGGTGCATTTTGGTGGAGT